CTCTGTATTATCTAGATTCTATTCCCAGAAATACTACTTTTAGTTAAAATGTCTTAAATATATCATTAAACTTCTCTAGTTTTATTTATAAAATTGGCAAAATAATAGCTACCTCAGAGTTTGTGTGATCTTTATGAAGTAAATTATATAAAGGTATTTTGTAGATTGTAAAGCATTCTGAATATGTATATATATGTAGATTAATATATAAATATCTATCTGTAGCTTATTTCCACAGTCCTCAGTTTGTTTCTTCACTATATATTGCCACAGGTAATCTTTTGGGGGTGGGGGAGAGTAACTGAAAGAGAACTACTGAGAGAAAATGCATTTAATATGATACAGTTTAGTATTATATAATTTAACAAATAGTTTCCATATACATTATCCCACTTAATTCTCCTATAATCCTAAAAGGAACCATAGTATGCCTAGTTTACATGTGAAAATTGAGGTTCAGAAAGGTTACTCTTGCCCAAAGTGAAATAACAAATCAGCAGCAGAACTAGCATTTGCATTTATCTGCCCCTTATAGCTGTCTATACTTCAGTGTGACTTTTACCAAATCCTATTTTTCCATTAATTGTCTGTGGCTTGGGAGTCATTTCATCATCAGAGTCTCAGACTGACCTGAAACCTTCTAACTGTAAAATTCAATTTTCTGCAATTTCAATTGAGTTGACTTTGCCTCATCCTTGAATGAAACTGCAGATGCCATCCTTTTCAAACCACTTTAATTGAATATTTTATATTTCCATGTTATATATGAATAAGAATACCTGAATACTAAAAGGTATCCTTATTTTAAATGTATTATGCCAATGCTTATTATATTTAAAACGTACCCTTTCCTCTTCCCCCCTCCCCCATTTCAGTGTTCGAAAGAATCCTCAAACCAAGAAAATACAAATTACCTCTTCCATCTTTAAAGTTACGGCATATGTAAGTGTTGAGGGGAAATTTGCAACCAATGAATTTAATTATTTGTTATTAATAGCATTGTTACAACTGGAGTTAGCAACCAGGGTGATGTTAATACCTAGGAAAAAAGATGATGATATTTAGTTTTTTGTTAAAATCAAAAGTTTATAAGGTATGCTTTTATTTGGAGACCAGTATGAACTTTTTCCTTAGCCTCCTTTCTATCGTACATTTCTAGTAGTAGTCCTTATTTATTTAATAGTTAAATCTGTAACTCAGGGTAAAACATAGTTCTCTGTCAAACCATGACTTATAGGTCAAATAAGTAAGAATGCAATAAATGTCCTAATATCACAGAATCAGAAGATTGAATTTTAGTATCATACAGATTATTGATACATATGAAACAATTTCTGAGTATCTTCATTTAATCAGTTCAATATTTATTGAGTATTTATTATTTATCAGCTACTGTGCTGGCTAGGCACTTTTTGTTGATAAACAAAAGAAACATAGCCCCTGCCCTCATAGTATGTATGGACCATGTTCTTAAAAAAAAAAAAAAAAAAGCAAAGATAGAAAAAAGAGCTTCAAAATAGAAATTTTTGCAATATTAGCAGTTTAAAAGCACTTTTTCAAAATATAGAATTTCCTTTTAGACTATAAAGGTCAAGAATTACTCATGTTTGTATAGTACTGTACATACATATTAGCACAGTAAATTGCTGTCAGTATTTTAAAATTTTAATTGCCTATTGTCAAAGATTTGATTTATGTGTCATGACATTTTAACAAAAAATATATTAGTTAAATGTGTTATTATTTAAACATAGTCGTATACTAAATAATTCAGTTTTCTCTTTTTCAGGACTCTGTCGGTATGTGTTACCCTTCAACAAAGAGTCATGAACAGACATTTTCTTACTTTATTGTGGATCCTATCAAGCGTCACGTTCATGTTTTATACCACTGTTACGGTGTGGGAGAAATGTCTTAACAATATTCTTTCAGATTATATTTACTATTTGCTATTTTTTATTTACCAGTCTTTTATTTTAATCCTGATTTACAGATAAACAATTACTCTGCAAGTTAATTCAAGTAAAATGCAAATAACCCATTTAGAGCAGAAGCCAAAAAGTGCCAAGATGCCTTACTTTCACTTTGTCTGGAAAACTAATATAGGAACCAAATTCCATTCCTAACATAATCTATACCAATGCATCTGTAGAATTTTTACAGAAAGTTACAAAGAACTAAAAATCTAGTTCATATTTATTGCATTAAAATTCAAGCATGTCCTGAATTTTCCATGTATTTTATTTTAGAAGCTAATTAATTATGTATTGAAATTGTGGCAGAAAACTAAACATCTGTACCACAGATCATTAATATGAATTGTTAGCTTTTTAAATTTGAGTTTTATTTAATCACATTTTTTCATTACATAAAAGATTTATATCTAGAGGGCTATGAAAAGCATAACAATTCCTTTGCTTCATTTGTCTCGCTTAAAATCTTCAATTAAAAAATAATGTTCAGAAAGTAATCGTAAACTCTTTTATCACATAATAAATTAAAATTGCAGCTGCCCCACAGCTAATATCAGATCTACACATAAACAGAGAGCATTTCCCCGATAGTATTATTAAGTTGGCAAAAGAGTAAAGGACAGGGTCTCTTGTTACTGTTTCCTCATTACATTCATAGAATGAATATATAATTTAGATTTTTTTAAAGTGGAAACAGTAATTGACATGTGTCCCAAAGGTAATGGAGAGCCTGCAAGAAATGTTGAGACTTTGAAAAGGAGCAAGTTTGGAATATCTGTTTCTGTGTTGTAGGGATAAGGATGATAATCTTGGATTTGAACCTATGGGTATATCTAGAAGGAAGCTAGCAATTTGGGTTTAGAAGTCAGGAGAGAGTGAGTTTGTTTTACTTCTAAGACCTAGCACAATGCCTTAGCACATTAAATATTTATCAAATGAATTTTTTCTAGATATGTTCATAATAGCAATAGATTTTTTAAAAACCATATAAAAAACATAAAATCAAGAACTAAAATGTGCTGCCTACCACACAGACTCCTACAACCTGGGGACTCTCTCTTAATCTATCAGTTGGTCAATCAATTTTTTTGAGGACCAGTTCCATGTAAGGCATAGTGCTGTTTACTTTGGGGAAATATACACTCCCTATAAACCAGCGGTCCCCAACCTTTTTGGCACCAGGGGCCAGTTTCACGGAAGACAGTTTTTCCATGGACCAGGGCAGGGCGGGGGTTGGGGATGGGGGTGGCCAAGATGGCCCTTAAAAACTTCGCCTCCTGATATTTGTATTTTTAGGCAAGGCAACCCTTGATTGACCTCACAGATTGCAAGGACCTTGTCAGCTTACAATCCCTTATTTTTTATTTTTTACACCTACAGCACCTGGTCCTCCTAGGTGGTCTCGCATCCACATACTAACCAGGCCCAACCCTGCTTAGCTTCCGAGATCAAATGGGATCAGGCTTATTCAGCGTGGCATGGCCATAGACTATTTCTATTATTATTACATTGTAATATATAATGAAATAATTATACTGTTCACCATAATACAGAATAATTGGGAGGCCTGAGCTTGTTTTCCTATATCTAGACAGTCCCATCTGGGAGTGATGGGAGACAGTGGCATCTGAAGTGTGTTGCTTATGTCCAGACCACTCCTAATCTTGTTTTGGTTACTGTCACTACAGATAAACCTGCTTCACAAAGACAGGATGTTGGAAATGGAAGCAGGCTTTTCAGTGCTTTGTGGCAATCTGAGGATGTTCCACCTTGACTTTAATCCAGAACGTATAGAAATCTGAAGTTGTCTTAAGTTGTTTGAAGGCCACTGTCATTTGCTGTATCAAGCAATTGATTCTCTTCTAGCACAAAGTTGATTCACCTGGCTTATTCACAAATGGGTCACAGTTCGGGTGTCTTTTGTGGTTGGGAAGTAATGCTCAAACTCTTTTTGAAAGCTAAGACAGGTGATCTTGCACCAGCTGGGAGAAAAAAGGCCCTCTCAGTCTCTTTCAAAATCTCTGCTAATGATTGAAATGTCAAAAATCCCAATATTCACTCATCCCTATAATTCTAGTTTGGTTTTGAATGCAGCCACTTTATCTTGAACACAGTTGTTGTTCTCTCCCAAAGTGACAGATTGAGTTGGTTAAGCAGGTTGAATATGTCACACAAGTAAGCAAGTTTTGCGACCCATTCTATGTCAATGAAATGTGCTGCCAGTGGTGACTGTTTTTCTAAAAGAAATCTTGGGAGTGGCTCTCATAACTCAAAAACTCTGATCAGTGATCTACAATTAGAAAGCCCTCTCACTTCTGTGTATAAGAGTTGTGTGTGCTCTGCGTGAATCTCCTCACAGAGCTGCGCGAACAGTTAAGGGCATGTACTTTGATGTGGTTGATAATTTTAATAACATCCTGCAAAACGTTAACTCCAGGTGACATTTTTCAGCTAACTAGCATTTCTCTATGGATGACACAGTGCATAGACTCACATTCAGAAGTGACCTCTTTGACCCAAGTAGTGAAACCAGAAAGGTCCAGTCATGGCAGCCACTCCATCTGTGCATATACCAACACAAAATGACCAATTTAGTTTTCCTGATATGTAATTACTCAGAGACTTGAATATTTCTGCAGCTGTGGTGTTGGCTGGCAACAAAAGTACACATAACATATCTTCATATACATCCTCCTGAAAATGTATCGCATAAAAACAAGCATTGTTGCCTCGTTGTCAACATCGGTAGACTTGTCAACCTGGATTGTGTATCACGGTGACTCATTAATCCTCTCTGACAACTGCGCCTCAGTATTGTCTGCTATTTTATCAGTTTGTCTAGTTATAGCGCTAGCTGAAAAAGGAACATATGCCACCTTTTGAACTGCAGCCTCCCCTAAAAGTTCACGACAAGTGTCCTTAGCAGCAGGCAGGATCAACTTTTCACCAAGAGTAAAGGGCTTCTTAACTTTAGCAATGTGGTTAGCTACTAAGAATGATGCTTTCAGTACAGACATATTTGATGAAATGGTGGCTTTCAATAATTGCTTCTGTTCTTCATGTTCATGTTTTTTTCTTTTGAAAAACTCCAAAGACTTGTCTTTTAATGCAAGGTGCTTGGTCTCCATGTGGCAAAGTAGTTTTAAAAGTTTCATGGCTTGTTGGATAACTGGTTGCCACATATTATACAAAGCAGTTGGAAAATGTGAATCACCTATTGCAATGAACCCATAATTCAAGTAGGACTCTTGGTATTTTCTTTTAAATGGAGCTTTTTATTGGCAGTCTTAGAATCTTCTGCTGTCTCATCATTGGGTCTTTCCCCTTTTCAAAGAAGCTCTCTAGTGACATTTGTTTTTCACTCATTTTGGCTAGGGTTAGTTTGTGGACTTACCAAAACTGACTAAGTGCACAGTACAGGAAAGAGGCGCAGATGGAAGTGGTAAATAAAATAATGGGCAGGCCATGCGCAGACTAGAATAAGTGTTGGATTCTGACTTAAAGCCCACCACCAGATGCAGCTTAATTGTCACTTGCCACTCACTGATAAGGTTTTGATCTGAGTTTGCAAGCAATTGATTTATTATGGTCTCTGTGCAGTCAAACCTCTCTGCTAATGTTAATCTGTATTTACAGCTGCTCCTCAGCACTCTTCACTGTCTTAGCTCCACCTCAGATCATCAGGCATTAGATTCTCATTAGGAATGTGCAACCTAGATCTCTTGCATGTGCTGTTCACAATAGGGTTCATGCTCCTATGAGAATCTTATGCCTAATGATCTGAGGTAGAGCTAAGGCAGTGATGGTAGCACTGGGGAGCGACTGCAAATACAGATGAAGCTTTGCTGGCTGGACCTGCCACTCACCACCTGCTATGTGGCCTAGTTCCTAACAGGCCACTGACCGGTATCAGTCCAGTGGCCCAGGAGTTGAGGGCCCTGCTAGAAACCTGATAGAGAAGGTCATCTATAAGAGTTTGTCTATAAACTGATTTTTATGTGAATTTAGAGATGAAAGAGAGGACTAAGAACTAGGCTTGGGAAGAGCTTGGTCTGGCATCTATAGAATAATGGGTAGAGTTTCAGCAACTGAAAAGGAGAGCAGTCCAACTGAGTAGAGAAGCATGATGTGGCAGGATCCTCTGAGTCTCACTCTGGGATGCAAGTTCAGAGGCAAAAGATGGGGAACTGAGACTGAGGGGTTGCCAATATTTTTTCTCTGCTTTAAAGATGGAAGTAGAATGCACCTCTGAGGAAAGATTGATCCATTGTTTGGGTCAAATCATTTTAATGACCCATCTGTGATTATGCAAATTATCTGTATTAAGAGGTAGTAATAAAGAATTGGGGCTGGGCAGTCAGATTATCTGCATTCTGAATTCTGCCATTACTTTATGACTTTGAGCTAGTTATAATTTTTCTGTGCCTTAGTTGTCTCATCTGTAAAATGGGGAAAATAATAAGACTCCTCAATTTATTGTGAAAATCATATCAATTAACATATATATTGTGCTTAGAATGGTGTTCATGAATTTTGGCTCTTTTCATTCTTTACTGAGGAACTATGAAAAAATCAGGAGCTAAATTGTCTGCATAATAATGTAAAAAGCTGTCTTCCTTAAAGTCAGAATTGCTTTTCTATAGATTATATTATTATTAATTTGACCAGATAGAATATAAAAGGTAGTAACACTGTTTTTCTTCCTCTCTCTGAGCCCCAGAGAATGTAGAGGACCTAAGCTTGGACTCCAGGTATTCTTTTGGCAGCACTTTGTACACTTAGAATTAATCACTCAACTATTTGTAATTATTTAATGTTTGTCATGAAAACAGGAACTGTATCTATTTGGTTCACTCTTCTATCCTCAATGCCTAGCCTTTTGCCTGGCACTTAATTGGCAATCAATATATATTCTCTGACTGATGAAGAGAAGCTGGCCCTTAATGTATGACTGCAGGGGTGGAGAGTGAGGTAGCAGGGAAGGGTATATGACTAAGGTAAGGGAGTATCAGTAGTGCAATAGTTCCACTAGTCATCCCTGAGCCTTATGTAAAATTTTGCACACTAGTATAATCTGGGTGTGGCTGTACTATGTGGAATTAGATATGTAGCCTAGGAGTATGCCTGGGACAAAATCATCCCTGGAAAACAGTAGCAGCGTATAGAAGCCAGCTTTGAAAGAGCAAGCTGTGATCAACTGAGGGTGGAGGATTATTCTGGAGTGAGAAACTAAGCATGATGTCAAGTGACAACAAAGTGGTTTTCTGAGACTTTGAGAGCAATCTTTAAAAATTCTGAAAGTTACTTAAGATGAGAAGGCTCACAGAATTACAATTTGGACATTCAAAAAAGGGACTTAGGTTGAAGGCTGGAGAACTTGGGACATTTAGTTCCCATAAGCAAAAAAATAAATAGAGGCATAAAAACACAAGGTGGTTTGGGAGGACACGAGTACACTTGACTAGTTGGATTTGAGGACATGGAATTGAGGAGTCCTGTCCAGAATTTCTGGGTAATAACACAAAGAAGACAGATTAATGGGGGAACTGGTCACTGAGGGCTGTGGGTACAAAGCTAAGAAATTTAAATCTTTTAAGTAGATGACATACAGCATACATTACAGACTTTTGAGCATGGTAGTAGCATCATGAAAGTGATATTCTGGAAAGATTAGTCTGGCAGTGATGAATTGGGGTGAGGAAAGTCCAAAGATCAAACAGAAGATTATAGTAGTTGTCAAAGCACAGAATTGACTGCTCTAAGTTAATAGCAATGGAAACTTTTTTGGGAATCATGAAGTATGTGACAATGGAATGCTAATTAGAAAAAAAAAATATGGCTCCAAAAAGATTAGCGACTGGGTGAATTATGAAGTGTTGGATATTTGAGGTACTAAGGACTGGGAAGCGAGAACTATGGTAGGAAGATGTGGTCAGAGGGGGAAAATCCCTTGTCCTGCCTTTCATTCCTGTCCCCACCCATGCTCAACCAACTTTAGTCCTTACAACTCTGAAAGCCTAGGTCTGAAGTTTCTAAAAACTGACTGGAGGCTTCTTAGAGAAACTATCTATTCTGAAGACTTCTCTGTCATCCAATTAAGTATTTGGTAAGAACTAATATTCATTCTTTCACAAATGTTCATTGATTACCTACTATGTGCTGGGCACTTTCTATGCACTGCAGATACACCAATGAACAAAACAGACAAAAGTTTCTATATTTAGGAGTTTACATTCTAGTGCTCAAAACAGTGTTAGGTGCAATGAAAGAGAGAAATACACAATTACTCTGAAGAAACTTGAAGTATTGTTGGAGACATGACACTCACATTTTTAAATATTTTCCAATCTGATGGGTGTGAAATGGTAGAATTTATTATTTTAGTTGCTCTGACTTTCTATGCGAAGTAGAACATTATTTTGTATTATTTCTTCCAACATGTATATTGATTATAGTAGGCAATTCCACAGTTGGGAACCACTGCTGTACTCTACTTTTCCCTAGTTTAAAAAATGGGGGAGTAGGGGTGGGGAGAAAGAATAGATGAAAACAAAACAACAAAAGAAAGAATAAAAGACGGGGAAGGTATGCTGTCTCTTACAGTAAAAGCTGAATTAATTAGTACTAAAAGCTGCATTTAGTGCCACATTAAGTAGTGTCCAACTGGCAAACTCTAGCAGCTGGTATACCTGATATCCTCTAATGTAAGTCTTCAATCTCCTGACTTGGCTCACATGTTAAAGTTCATTCAAATAGGCAGGCTAACCTGGGTTTAAATAAGGTTGAGACTTACCATTCCTGTTTATCTTTTTATTATTATTTTTTTTGTAAAGAAAAAAATATCACTGACTTTAACAAACACTGGGAACCTGTAAATTATTTTTCTTATCTTTTTTATTACTGGAAATGTATGTGAGAGAAATTATAAAATGGAAATATAACTATATAAATTATTCAAATTTTTGATCAACTGTCACCTTTTATTCCCTTAACCTATTGTAGAATAAAACACTCTTAAAATACTTCACACACATAAAGTAAGGTTAAACATACCACTGAAATTCTGAGGGAACCCAGAGTGATCAGAGTCAATGATAATTCATAATGAAAGGCTTTCTTGAGAAGGGAATTGAAGTACATTTTAAAAGAAATGACAGTCATAGATTGCCTTACAGGAGGAAAGATTTCTAGGCAGAAAGAATGTTCCTGCTCTCGTGTAGAGATAGGAAATACATGTGGAATTACAAACTTCCTTGAATAGAGCAGCAGATATGCTTAGCTAAGTAGATCATTCAACTAATATTTGCTGTGTCTAATAAATGGAGAACATCTGGACGTCATCTCTAATAACCCTTTATATACTTAAATATAATTATTAAGTCTTCCTTCAGTCTTTTTTTCTAAATAATCCCAGTTCCTTAACCTTTACTCAATGTCTTGTTTCTCAACTCTTTAATCATCTCCTGAGCCCTCTCCAAGTACCCTGTGTTTTTCTCCAGTTGTCCAGTTGTCGTGTCACAATAGATACTATATACTGTCCAAAATGTCATTTATATACAGTTGATTAAAATTTGTGTAGATCATAATTTACATATTTTCTATGTGTAAAAGTGTATAATTTAAAATTCTTTAGAAATATATTTTGTTTTATAAAGTCAAAATTTAAACTCATAATGTGCACATGGATTTGTTGTGCTGAATAAGAATAACAGCATTTTAGAACTAAAAGGTGAAGGAGATCACTTAGCTCAACTCTCTCCTTTTACACAAGACCTTGAGAGGTTGATCTGCACTGTCCAGTATGGTAGCCACTAGCCATAAATAAAATAGAAATTTCAGTTCCTTAGTCACACTAGCCACATTTCAAGAGCTCAATAGCTACACATGTGGCCAGTAACTGGTATTAGCACGGATATAGAACATTCTCCTCATCACAGAAAGTTCTGTTGGGCAGCAGAGGGTTTAAATGAGTTTCCCAAAGCCAAACACCTCTTCAGTGACAGAGCCAGAACTTCCAGTTCCTTGTCTCAAGATCCCACCATACCTTTTGAAGAGGCAAAATGTGATGGATTACTTATCCTATCTACAACATTTGAATTTTTTGTACAAAGCATTGTGCGAGCCATAGATCCTGACGCTAAGAAGGTTTTAAGACAATTACTTTAGGTGGGTTGCTGTCTATATAAAAATTCCTGCAGTTTTGAGTGAGAGTGCAAGGGTGAAAATGGCACTTGAGGGAAATGAGTGTAGACTCATAGAAGATTGATGGGAGCAGGAAAGGCCGGATAGAGCCTGGGAAACCAGCCAGGAATTTGGCTGCAGGAATTGAGGTGTGAGCTGAAAAGTGTCTGATGTCTCTGGTAAGGTCAAAGGGACTGGAGACATTTCAGTACACACACACACACACACACTCAATAGCTGGAGGCCAGAAGCAAGAGGTAACTAAAACACCTGCTATTTTCTATATAGGCAGCAACCCACCTAAAGTAATTTGATAACATTTTCATATCTTCAACATGATATGTGGCACAAAAATATGTTTTTAAAACCATTAAATTAAAAACAATTTCTTTTGAGAATATACCAAACTCTGGAAGTGCTTCTTAATATCTAACTTATTTCCTCTTTAACCTAACTTAATGGTTTTAAAAACATTTTTGTGCCACATGCCCTGTTGAAGATATGCATATAAAAACAATAGTCATAGAATATTTATAAACAAATTGGAATCACTGCTTAATAGATCTTTTAAAATAGGATTGTCAGCTTTCAGGTAAGATTTAAGACATCAGTTTTTGAGATCCTTTATAACATGAATATGTTACCAAATAAATAGATTTTTTTCAATTATCAAATACATGTTATAATCAAGATATAGATATTTCTAGAATAAATGAGATTAAAGGGATAGTTACCTATTATATGGTAAAGGTATTACCTTGATGTATAATGTTTACAAAGCAAGATATTTAATATTTATAGAACAAAAACAATGTGGAATATAATATAGAGTGGTTCTCAAACATTAGCACTCATCAGAATCACCTACAGGGTTTTGTTAAAATCCAGATTGCTGTGTCCACCTCTAGAGTTTCTGATTCAGTAGGTCTGGGTTATGACCTGAGAATTTATATTTCTAACAAGTTTTCACTGATGCTGATCTGATGGCTGCTGGTTTGGGGACTATACCTTGCGAACTATCAAAAGAGAATATATTTAGCAGTTTTAGAAGGTAACTTTAATTTTTAGTGTAATTTAGTAAAGTATAGTAAATGATGAGATCTAGAAGCCTTTACTTTCAAGCCTCAGTGTAGAAAGCACAAGCCTGAATTTGACAATATGTATGGCTTACAGCACTGGAAAGGCTCTTGGGACCTCCATTACATGCCGCACTTGGTTCTGCCCTAAGCCTGAATGGTTCATACTCTAACATTTCCCACATCTAGCTCTCAGAACAAACTTTAATGTCCCCCATATGGATAACTTTAGCAAGATATTAGAAGAAAAAGAAATCCGATTTAAAATTTTTTACTTCAGTATACATGACTTTACATTTTAAAAAATACTATTAGCCAACCGAAATGCATCTGTTATGGTATAATATGAAAAATATATATATTTCAAAGGAGTGGGTCTTTCTGTAATAGGCCTAACAGGTCCTCCAACATACCAGAAGAACAGGATTGAGCAATTTACCTGGGTCCCCAGCCCTTTCTGGAAGGTTGTTATACCCTGTTGTATTGCTTGTTAGTTTAGGCAGCTAGTTCACCCAGATACCTTTAGAGTAGAACTGGTCATAAATATTTTTTCTGCTGTTAGGGAAAAATGTCCACGATACAACCAGTGTCAGAAAAGCCAATATAAATGAGTAAAAAGTTGGCGTAAATTTTTTACAAAAAAGTATGGTCATAGATTGTGGCTTATCTCTTTTCTAACCCCAGTTGATACTGTATAACTAAACAGGTGAATGTGATTTTGGTTTTTAAAACAATTATTTGCAGGTAGTTGTTCATTTCTAAAGTACTTTACAATTGCTATTCTCTAAAATTGGTAAACAGGTGACACTTTGAGACTTTTTCTTTCTTTCTTAGACTTATCGTAGCTATAGCATAGAGGGAAAAAACCCAGTCTAATACCACTTATTATCATATATCTCAAAGTAATGGATTCTGAATAAATGTAGTTCCCCAGGAGTTGCAGAACCTGCCCTTTGGCTGAGTATGTAGCTTTGCAGTGACCCTGTCTTCAAACATCTGGGTGCTAAATTCCTTTTTCAATTCTGCTAATATTTATTAAATAATATCAATAATGTATACTAGTTTTTGAAAAAAAAAATTTTTTTTAAGTGGGTAGTTTACAGGTATAAATTAGAGGTAGGGCTGTGAGATTTGCAATTCTCTTCTATCCATAACTAGACTGAAAAACGGTGTTTAAAACCAGCAAGGCTCCTGGTCACTACCATATGTATTTATTACTCACAGTTGTTTCCTGCTATTGCAGAGGGATCTCCTTCAAAGCCAGATCTCCTTCAAGCTTAAAAATTATTGATTAGTGTCTAATGCATAATAATAGACAAAGGCTGTGGTAATAAAAATTTTATATTTTAGAATTCAGAACATAAATTAGAATGAAAGAATAATTTTAGGACTATCTTCTAAATGTTACAGCGGAGCGCTCGGAAATAATCTCTCTGACTCCAATAATCAAGTCCTATTAGGTCAAGCAGAACTTTCTTCAGCAAACCGTTCCTTAATTTCTCATCATGCAGTTAGTTATACCAAGTCAACTAAATCTAAGGCCTTTTTAATCCACATGATGCAATAATAAAAACTCATTCACACTTCTTATTTAATCTTCATTATTATCCTGTGAAATAAGCATTATTATTACCAATTACTACCAATGCCTGGCATATAATCAGCACTTTACAAGTACTTATACAAATGTTTCATCTTAATTTCATCCACTGAATGCCAGACATTTAGATAGAGAGTAGGAAGACCCAGAAACAAAAGGAAATAAAGAGAAAGTTTGAGGCTTTTGAAGTCATGAGTGAACAAAAGTCATGAGAAAGGGAAGGAGTTCTCCAGTTTTAGCAGAAAGGGAAGCCCAGTCCCCGTAGTGGATCATTATGATAGGGGAACTAACAGAGAGTGATTGATTCTGGGGGATTACGAGGTCACCCCCCATGTTCTTAGAACTACAGTGAATCCCGAGCAAGACAGAGCTCTGTGAAGCCCAGCTCCATGGGCTAGAACTATTTCTTCTCTCTGTGTGTGAATTCTTAAGTTAGCCCCTCATTAACTGAGTTAACCTATGTCCCTTGCAGTATGAAAATCGCTAAAAAATATACTACCCAGTAATTTTTTTCTAAACTTCTTTAGAATGACTGTCTCTTCACACTTTTAATCAACTTCTCAGAGAGCAACCCAGCTTTGTTCTTAAAATTTAACATTAAGACTACATAACCCTAAACCAGCACTTATTGGTCAATAAAAATAAAATATTCCTTAAATCAGGGGTCCCCAACCCCCAGGTCATGGACCGGTACCAGTATCGGCCTGTGGCCTGTTAGGAACTAGGCTCCACAGCAGAAGGTGAGCAGTGGGCCAGTGAGACAAACTTCATCTGTATTTGCAGCCTCTCTCTAGCACTAGCATCACCACCTCAGCTGCACCTCAGATCATCAGGCATTAGATTCTTATAGGAGCACAGGTTCCTAGTGCCAAAAAGGTTGGGGACCACTGCCTTAAATGACAGGGTTCCTAAAACCACTTATCCTTCTACATGCATAAATTTGTCAAGAACCCTTCTGGACTGTCTGAAGTTAAACATGATATTCCTGATGGGGAGTTTGAGCTCTGCAATCAAACATAGATTCAAATTCAGTTCTACCACCTACTAACAGTACAACGTTGGTCAAGTTATTAAACTTCTCTATGCCTCAGTTTCCTCATCAATAAGAGGTTGTTTTTAATTTTAATTTTTAATTTTAAAGAGTTGTTATAAGGATTAAATGAAATACTCCATTTAAAGTACTTAGCACATTGTCTAGCACAGTATTAACTGTTACTTTTACTCCATCAAGAACATTTGAAAATTCAAGCAAATTCATTACCATTTATTAAGCATTGTGAAGTCTTAGAGGTATATGGTATAGAAATATCTGTCTGGTTTGCAGAGACTGAATTTTCAAAATTGGAATCATGGCAGCAAGTTAATTGTTTGGGATTCAAACCCATACCTCTACTTTTAGGCTCTAGGATACCTCCTTACCTTTATCTCCTCCTTTTCTATATTTGATGAGCAAGTATTGTTAACCATTGCTGACATAGGGATAAAGAGATGGGAGACATTGCTGCAGAAGCACCCAGAGAAGAAGGCTCTCACCTACTGTGGGGTGGGACTAATGAGAAGGGAAGAGCCAAGGAGAGCTCCCTGTTAGAGGTAGATACATGATTTGAAGTTTGAGCACCAAGGAAAATCAGGTAAAAACAATAAGGGA